TGAACACACACAAGAATGGATTGTTATGCGGTCGGTAAACTCTTTTGGCAGGCAGCTTATCAAACAAATTAGATCACGCATTTTGGAATATGCTATTTCGTCATGTAGATATCTCTGGTATTTCATTTTGATGTTCCTACTCGTACCCGGAGAGAGAATGGGCACGACTCTAATCCCCTCTCTCCATTCTACCATCCAAAAAGCATGTTGGCCATTCAAAATTTTGAGGTTGGGTCGAATAGGACCAGACCTGATCAACTGAATCTATGGATTATTTCCTATACGAAGCCTCCTAGGGTTTCTGCTTAGAATGTAGAGGCCATGCACGATGATCTAGAGGGTGAAAGTCAAGTCTTAATAGCATTAATTTTAGCGATGGCAAGCGACGTTGGAAATTGGACACTTCCTAGCCTAACATGTAGGATTAGAGAGCAAGCTCTAAAGAACTATCATTTTCTTGTTTGGATTCTTGGGACCTTGGTGGTCATAGGCCCATGTTAATTTTTTTTTATTCTTCCTCTTTTTAGTGGCATGGTTTCTTTTTTTAGTTCAACAAATGGGGTAAGGTTTTGAACCTCTAATCTCTAAGTAAATAATATCTTGATAGTTGAATTATGATTCTATCAACTTTTAATTGGTGATACAGCTCGCTAATGCTTGTATCACCTCAATAATAGTTGACTAATCCTGGTCAAAGTACAAAACCTAACTTTTATGTTTTCTAATACGAGTGTTGATCTAGAAAGATCAAAACAATACCCAAGTTTTTATCTTACAAGAAATACTCATTTACATCCAAGTCTTTATATCAAGTCTTTGCATTGGTTAGCAACCCAACCTCTTCTTTGTCTTAATTTTATAACCAAGTCAAAAGAGCCCACATGACATTTTTACTTTAAAAATTAGGATCTCAATTTCTTTTAGGAATATTAATATAAAATATTTATGAAGAAATAAATACTATGAGGAGCATTTGCCCTCTTCTCCCTTTTTAATTGTCTTAGAATTAAAAAAATTGACACAAAAATTAAAATTTCTAAAGCATTTTTCCCCAATAATTTCTCCCTAATTTTTTAGAATTAAAAGATGATATATAAAGTTAGAAAGGTCAAAACTTTTCCACACTTTTTTCTATTACCCCAGTCAGCGGTCTTTTGGCCTTCATGCCTCTATACCTGAGGTATGCGCACTATCCTTATACTCGTATATATGCAAGAGGTCATGTTTGGTTGGAGTTGCGTTCCATGTGGTTTGAACCTAAGACCTCAAGCATATTCCACTCTTTAACTATATACTTATTTTTATTTATATTATACCTTTCTAGCAACTTATAAAATTACTATTGCTAACCTATTTTAAATTTTTAATATCTTTGTAACATTTCTAATTTTCTAAACAAATTTTTTAACATTTTAGATTTTATTTAATACAAAAATATCATAGGGTGAGATTAAACTCGCGATTTTTTGATTAACCAGCAGGTTGACAACTTTTTAGAATCTGTTAGTTAATATATTATGGGCCAAAAATGAACGTTTTATACTTTTATTTGATCGTTTAATATAATTTTTTTAATTAATACTTTTAGTTAATTTGGATTCTCAAAAAGGAAAAAAAAATACTTTTTTAGTTGATTTGTAATAGTTAAATTTAAATAAAAGACATGAGACTCATTTTTCTTGAATTAAGGGTTCAAAGTCGTTCTCAATTTATTGTGAGAAAGAGTGGGATAGAGATAAAAAAAAAAAAGAAAAAAAAAGAAGACTTAAAAATTTCTATGTAGATGGGAAAAGGGAAGGCCTACTCTCTAGCCAAATTTATGAATACTTTCATCTAAAGTCTATACAAATTCTTTTATGGGGAAGGTTGGAATATAGACTCTGATTTATTTAAGTTGAATGAGATCCACAAAAAAGAAGAATAAAGAATTAATTAAAATTGAATAAATATAAATCAAAATGACGAAAAATCAGAATGAAAAATCAACCATAGAATTAACGTGCAATGAAAATTACATTCACTTAATATTGTTTACCTCAAAATTGTATCGAACTGAAATGAGAATTCTATTCGTATAATTTTCCTATAAGACTTAAAGGGAACAAAACATATTACAATGACTAGAATATTTTTTTCATACTATAACTACTTATAATGAATTTTAATTTATTTCATTTAATTACAGAAGATTTTATACTAACAATTTATTTGAAACTAACCACTAATAACTAATCAAATCAAATAGTGACATGTAATAAAATTTTGTGTTTTTTTTAATACAACATATTAGATAAAGATTTGAGATAAAATTTTGTTTTGATATAGAAAATTATTCGAGTGTTATTTAATATAATTAAAACGAATAAAATAAAATAGAGGGAAAAGTGTTTGATTAGTATTATGGGTCCATGAAATAAGAAAAAAATGAATGAGATATTTTTAAAAGGAAAAATAAAAGTCTCCCATTTATGAGAAATTATTTCCAAAGTTTAGGTCCGCCTCAAATTGAATTTCATTCCTTTAATTTGACAATACACCAAAAGAAAGAAAGAAAAAAAGATTTGTTTGGTAATATTTCTTTTCTTTTTCCCTATATATTTTAGGCTTTCATCTAAAATTTTTAATGGTTTGATAATCAAATAAATTTTACATTTTATGTATTTTAAATTGTAAGTAGATTTTTAAAAAAGTAATTAAAAATAAAGAGAGAATTCTATTTTTCAGAATCTCACCTTCTCGATTTTAGAAACAATTGTGACATTATCAAAAACATATTAAATTTGTGATATGAAGTAAAATATTTCTTTTTCTTTCCTATTAGATATATATTTTTCCAACAACTCTCTTTTTTTTCTCCTCTAAATTTCTCTCTGAAACTTTTTTCTCTTTCTAAAATTTTCATACTTCTTTTCTCCATCTCTTTATTTTTTAACATCTCTATAAAATTTTTATCTCTATAAACTTTTTCATTCTAATTTATTTTCCTCTCTATTATATGTATCCCTAAATTTTTTTCTATCTAAACTTTTTCCTTCTGAAATTGTGTGCCACTATGACTTTTTTCTCTCTTTATAATTTATATTTTTTGCATTGACATATATTTTAATCTCTAGCTATATTATCTTTCTTTAAAATTTTTCTTTTTCTCCCCATAAAATTTAATTCCTCTCTAATTTTTTCCTTTTTAATATTTATTTCTCTTGACACGAACATAGCTCCAATCAGCAGAGCATAACTTACCAAAGGTTAAAAGTTTAAATACTCCTACCCTTTGTTGTACTTAAAAAGAAAAAAATATTAATTTCTTTTTGAACATATATTGTTCTCTCTCCAACAGTCTCTCACTCTAACTTTTATCCCTAAATTTTTTTTCTCTCCAAATTCTTTTTCTAAAATTTTTTCCTCTGCCTCTCTAAACTTTCATTTCATTTTCTTTAACATATCTATCATCTCTCTAACTTTTTAAAAAACAAAAAACAAAAAACAAAAAATAGTTATTTTGGTTTTCTATTTTCTAAAATAGAAAAAAAAAGACATATATCAAACATATACCACTTTTATTTTTTAAAAAATTTAAAAGTCAAAAACAAAAATAAAAAATGGTCAACAAATAGAGTCTAAACATTTTTTTACATATACCAGTTTATCAACTGTGTAAGAGAGATTAATATCATCGACCTGAACACTAGTAAAACAAGAACTTCCCAAAGTCAAGGTTCAAATTTCTCGCTTCATATTTAAACTAAAAAAAATATATATATATATTAGTGTCATTTCATCTAAACTTGACAAAGACAATAACTTTTAATTGATGATTTGAATTTTATGTTCCTAAGTATTCTAGAAAAGAGTGAAAATTGATGGGAGTTTATTAGAGGTCGTTGTTAAAATTAGATAGAGAGAGGACCTAACTTT